AGCTCTTAGAAATGAGCTGGGAGTGATGCCAGCCAGACTCCCAGCTTGCCAGGATGGGTGGTGCAGGGGGCCAGCCACTTGCTCCCTGTGCTGTCACTGGTGTGGGGCTTTCGTGCTCGGCTCTGCTGGCTGGGGATCCTAGGACAGGAGCCGGGGGAGCCTGTGCACGGTCTCCTCCCAGGCCTGAGTCAGCTGCAGAAACTCCACCTGTGCCTGGAAAGACTGACACCAGGACCTGGGCTGGGAGACAGGCCGAACGGAGCCCTGGATCAGAGAACGTCAGATCATCCGAGTTCATTAGCAGTGGGGGTTCGGGCCAGGCAAATCGAAATGAAGATAGATTCCTACACTTAAAATCCCCCAATTTACCTCCATCCTCCTGTATTCACACCCTCTCTTTACCCTTTCCCCTTTATTAAAACTTTTCACTTCTCTCCTCCTTTCACATTTATATACAAGTTATGGATAGAACCTCCAGGGTTGTTTGCATAGAACAGGAATCAAAGCCTCCAGCTATAGGGACAGCATGCTAGTGGGGACATTTCAGGATGGCCAGGAAAGATGCTTCTGACCATTAAGGTCTTTCAGGAGTTTCTGAAGCCAAACTGAATATAGAGTTTCCAACAACAAAAATATATACATCTAAAAAATGTTCAACTATCGATGATTGGGTGAATATGGTATTGATAAATTCTTAAAATGGAGTACTTATAGCCATCAAATTGGGAAAGACCATGGAGAGTCATGTAACGTGAAAATGTAATGGGGAGGGGGGTGTGGGTAGGGTGTAGGCTGTGGTTATTAAGGGAACATGAGAAACCCCTGCGGTGATGGTATAGCTCACCATCCCATTATGGTGGCAGATGCACAACCTATACATGGGATCAAATTGTGGAGAACTAAGTACACATGCCAAAATGAGTAAAAGTAAAGTGAGGAAGATCTGAGTAAAATCTGTGGATTTTACCCACTTCAGTATTCTGGTTGCAATATTGTACTATAGTTTTGCAAGATGTTAACCATTGGGGGAAACTGGGTAAAGGACATAGGGGGTCTCTCCGTATTATTTCATAAAACTGCATTCACATCTGTGATTATCTCAGCCAAAATTTCACTTAAAAAAAGATTGGGATCCACAGGGCATGATTTAAATATCAATACATGGACATTGTTTCATCCATTTCAGGAAAGAATTGGATAAACTCACCCAGGGTGAGGTCAAAATATATGATTTAATGTAATACATTTTAGGAGAAAGTTCACACATGTATTTTTACAGGCAATTAGACTCCCATTTACTTAAAGCTGACAGAATGAGTTTCTTTAGAGCAAGGCCTATAATAAGAGGGGTGAAACAATTAATTTCCGCCTCTTTCAGCTCGCCTTAGTCCCGTGCCTGTTTTGAAATTTTGCCTTTTAGTGAACTAAGGGCGAAGAGGCTGCTGCAGAAGTGGGCAACCCACAGCCTCCCGCTCTGCAGGACATGCAGGCTGTGCTGTGGATATCCCCTCTGGGCTGATGGAGGAAAGAGACAAGAACAGGGCTGAGTGTATGCAAAGCAGCTCAGCAACTCATAGGTGTTCCTGGTATAAGTAAGTGTAAGAATAAGAATGGGCATGGCCTTCTAAACACGGCTGAAATGCTCCTGTTTCTACCATTTGCAGTAATTTTCTTAAATATTTATTAAGTGCCTACTGTGTGCAAGGTATCTTTTTAGGTACCCGGAAGACTACCCTGAACAATTCTCTTCTCTTATGGGGCTTAACTGTCCTCATTTTGAGACTGTGTGATTCAATTTTAAAAGTCCCCAAACAAAGCGACTTCTGGGCTGCACAAAGGCTACCACTTCGGGCAAGAGTTTAATCTCTGCGTTGTTATCTCATTTTGTCCAATCTGACAGGCTTTGATGTGCGGACAATCCCCCGGATTGCAAAGCACTAACAGATGGAGGGGATGGGAGGAAGCGGGAAGAGCTTCCCTCCCAGTTGGAGTGATTGATTTACATTAACCACATATGGCTACCGGGCAGTAGTCACTGCAGGTGGGAGTCTGGAGCCCTGGCAGCAGGCAGCGTGGTATGAGCCCTTCCTATTTTCCATGGGATTCGGTTTTCTCATACGTAGGCTGGGCACAGGGCTACACACCATCTGAGGCTGTTGTGACAGCTGTGGGGTTCTGTTTTGTTTTGTTTTGTTTTTTTAGTGAAGAATAGTTGATTTACAATGTTGTGTTAGTTTCAGGTGTATATAGTTTCAGGTGTATAGCAAAGTTATTCAGTTACTTATACATGTGCATATATATATATACTTTTTCAGAATCTTTTCCATTATAGGTTACTACAAGCTATTAAATATAACTTGTAATATAGTAGGTCCTTGTTGTTTATCTATTTTATATACAGTAGTGTGTATCTGTTAATCCCCAACTCCTAATTTATCCCTGCCCCACCCCATAGGCTTTTTAAAAATTTTTAATTTAATTTTTATTTTATAATAGAGTATAGTTGATTTACAGTGTTGTGTTAGTTGCAGGTATACAGCAAAGTGATTCAGTTACACAGAGACATATATCCATTTTTTCCCAGATTCTCTTCCCATATAGGTTATTACAGTCTGACATTTTCCCCAAGCACCTCCTTCTAGGGCCTCAGTAGAACAAGAGGCTCAATTAACACTTGCAGATTTTAGTTCAATTCCATAAATATTCAAGGATCCCAAGGTCATGTGCTGAGCTCTTGGGGTAGAGGGTGGGTATTTCTGACAGCTAAAACATTTCTCTTTGGGCTTGAAAGAACTAGACTGTGAACAACTAACAATCCCACATAGAATAATAAAATGCACATCAATACAGATCCATGAAAGGAACTGGAAGAAACATCGTCAGTGTTCTAATCCACTGGTCAAGCACACACTGTAGTAATGGTAGCATACTGAATGTCTTTGATGCGCTAGACACGTGTGCTCGACCCGAGGCTTCCAGAAATAAATACTGAAGCTGATGTCCTTAATGATCTCAAAGTCCAGTAGGGGAGACAAATAAATAATTATAATTGTAGTGTGATTAGGTGCTAGGAGAAAAATATGTACAGGGCTCCCGGGAAAGAAGGGGTGAATTAGGAAGAATTCTTACACGAGACTTAATAGACAGGTACAAGTTTCCCATGTGATCCAGTGGGGGAAGGCACCCCAGGTAGACACATCTGTATGCGCAAAGTATGATGACCCCAACATTTTGGTACTTTAGGGAAGGGCAGGCAGTGAGCTGTGGCTCCAGCTAGATTTGAAAAGCAGAGAATGGGGGAATATGAGGGTGAGATGTAAGGATCCAAGATCATGGAGGTCCTATAATGCTCTGCTGAAAAATCATGCTTTCTCCTGTAAGCTATAAGGATCCCTGAAGGGTTTTGAGAACTGACAATCAAATTTGCTTTTTAGAAGGAGAATGATTTGGACATAGGTGAGGAGATGAACTGGAGATGGAGAGACCAATTTCCCTACGTGACCATTTCCATGGTGATGATGAGGGCTTGAACTAAAGTAGTAGGAGAAGGAAAGGAAGAGGAGTCCAGAGAGATATTAACAAGTTGGCATTCCAAGGACTCGGTGACTGTTAGGATGGATGTGGATGATGGGAAACTTGGGAATGATTTTGACTGAAGGCCTTAAGGAAGACCACGGATGAGATGGCAAGACTTACGGAGGAAACAGCTGTGGGAGGCAAAGAAGCATAAGCATTTTCAGGAAGCTGTAAAGGTCTGGGAGAGAGGCGTGCAGGCCTGTGAGTGGGACGCTCTTCTGTCTCCGACGCACTGGCTGCCCCGGGACCTGTAGCCACATAGAGCAGGCCCCATAAGAGCCTCTCCTGGGCATAGCGACACCATGGGCACATGCCTCTCCTCCCTGTCTCCATCACATTTTCTAAAGACTCTCATGAGAGCCCACTGTTGGCAGAGCCACGTTCAGAAGTCAAACTTGATAACTGATGCTGTAATCCTCTGGATTCCCTCATTAGCAGCTGTTAATGGCTGGTGTGCTGACGATTCAGTTAAGGCTCTAATAGACCCGCTTGTCAACTGCATCCCTTCAAAGGGAAGAGCAGAGCTGGGAGAGATGACTGAAGCAGGCGGTGAAGGTCCTCAACAGCACCAGAGCCCGCCCCTCCCCACTGTCCTGGCCTGGGTTTCCTGGGTCTGGATGAGGCTCCCCAGAAGCCCAGCCTGGTGGAAGGATATTGGATTGCAAAGGGAAAGACATGGGCCTAGGACAGCTTCCAGCCAGGAGTCTGGAGACTTTGTTGCAATAAGAGGGTCCTTATTGGGAGAGGTCCTTGCCCTCTCCCAAGACAATAACTATGAATTGTCTTTATTCCACTGCACCCACAGCCCCAACTCAAGGGCATATTCAGAGAACCTGGACAGGAGTCGCAAAGGATGCTACTGCAGCACCTCCTCCAGCATCTGCCCTTGGGTCCTGGTCCGTTTCCATCTCTCTGCCACTTTTTTCCTCCCAAGACCTTTGTTTTCGGAGATTTGAAACTTGCAGAGTCGTTTGGTGGAGGTGATGGTGTTGCCAACCCTAGGACCTGACACAATCTAAAAGGCCCAGAGGAAGGCTCTGCGTGGGGCCTGTGCCTGTGGTTTATGGGACCAGCTCTAAAAAGATCTGACTTTTTAGAGCCAAATTCCTCCCCAGCAGAACTTGGATATCCCTGGTAGCATGTGTCTCTAATGGGAGGGAGACTCGTGTGTATTTTCCAGTGGTGATTGGAAGAGAAGTAGTCTCAAAGCTTCTTCTTTTTTTAAAAAATATTTATTTATTTATCTATTTATTTATTTGGTTGCGTCGGGTCTTAGTTGTGGCAGTCCAGCTCCTTAGTTGCAGCTCACGGGCTCCATAGTTGTGGCACGTGAACTCCTTAGTTGTGGCATGCAAACTCTTCGTGGCGGCATGCAGGATCTAGTTCCCTGACCAGGGATCGAACCCGGGCCCCCTGCACTGGGAGTGAAGGGTCTTAACCACTGCGCCACCAGGGAAGTCTCTCGAAGCTTCTTAACCAGCCCTTTATTTAGTTGGTCAGTGGAAATGCAAGCAGGTTCAATTTTCTCTGGGTCAGCATCAGAATTGGGTCAGCATCAGACTTCAATATCATCACCTCTGATGGCTCTATTTTTCCCTTCATTTCCTCTATCCTTTATTCTTTTAATCCTCACTTCTGAAAAAACAAAGAACATAAATGTAGATGTTCCTTAAAGCATGAACTATCCTATCTCATACCACCAGACTTTTCAGTTCCCGCAACCATCCCTCCCCCGCCGCCCCTGACACAAGCCTTGGAGCCTCCAGTATCACACCCAGACCTTGGGCTAGTCCTCCAAAGTCATGTCGCAAACCCATTGCCACAGAAAAACTAGAAACCCAGGAGCTTAAGCATACCACCTCCTGTTCTTGGCATCTTCTTTCCCAGCCCCGCCTGTCTTTCTCACCTCAGTTTTCTTCCACAGCTGATGGCAGACAGTTTCTCTGGAATGCTCTGTCAGAATCGGCCAGCATGGGACCTCCCTGGTGGTCCAGTGGGTAAGACTCCACGCTTCCAATGCAGGGGGACCGGGTTTGATCCCCGGTCAGGGAACTAGATCCCACATGCATGCCGCAACTAAGAAGTCCACTTACCACAACTAAAGGATCAGGCATGCCGCAACGAAGATCCATCACGTGGCAGCTGAGACCTGGAGCAGCCTAAATTAATAAATAAATTAAAAAAAAAAAAGAATTGGCCAGCATGATACTTGGAATATGCAATTTCCCATGCTTCTTGGGCCTGGATAAGGCAACCAGCAATCCTACCTGCTAGACTAGAGGGCAGGAAAGAAACTGAAGACACTATGCAAGGCTTTTCATAGAGATCCCCTAGAGGCCAGAGCAAAGAACTGGCAAAGAAAACAGCTGACCCTAGTATTGACCTAAAGCAGCAGAAACAACATTGAACTAAGAGCTCTAGCTAGTCCTACAAACTTTGGTTAAATCCTGTCTCTGCTCTGGAATAATCAATAAAGGGAGGAGATCGTGGTGCGCATAATTCTATGACAAGCACCAGAGGAAGGGAGGCCCTATCCCCTTCTGATGTTCCCAAGATCCCAGGCTTGCCACCCGCCTTCCTGCATGTAGCCAGAATTACAGGTGCTGAGCTCACCCTGTCAGAGCTGCCCGTGCTGGGAACACACTCTGCAGATCTTACTACCTGCCCTGGCCCTACAGACCATGTTAAAGAAAAACCAACATAACTAGGCTGTTTTCTCTCCCCAGGAGAGGAAAGAGAATTTGGCAAAATGTTGTTAGGAGGTCACAGAGGTAAATCATGTTACAGTTGAGGCCCCGAAGGAAGGTAATGTGAGCTACAGAGTTAGCATGGGAAGCAGATTTCTAAGATGGCCCATGACCTTCACCCCTTGGTGTCACTCCCGAGATGATGCCTACTCATCAGGTGACCCTGAGACAGGGAGGTTATCCAAATGGACGGAACTTAATCACATGAGCAGTTTAAAGCAGAAAGCTTCCTCTGGCTGGTGGCAGAAGGGGAAGTGAGAGAGAAGTGACATGTAAGAGGGATTTGATGTGAGGGAGGTTCTTTGTTGCTAAGACGGGGGGAGCCACAGGGAATGACCTGAAGAGAGTGGCCTCCAGAAGCTGAGAGTGACCAACGGCCAACAGCCAGCAGGAGGACAGAGACTTCAGTCGTGCAACCACAAGGAACTGAATTCCACCAACAACGTAAATGAGCTTCAAAGTGGATAATTCCCCAAAGCCTCCAGACAACAGTCCAACCCAGACAACACCTTGACTTCAGCCTTGTGAGCAGAGAACTCAGCTGAGCTCACCTGGCCTGTAGAGCACTGAGATAATAAATGGGTACTGTTTAAGCCATGGAGTTAGTGGTAATTTGTGACACAGGAACAAAGCTAATACAATACTTAACTCTGACTCTCTGCCATTCTGTCCTTACTGAATAAAGAGGCTGGGCATCTTGGATCGGGGTCAAGCGTTGATATCTCAAAAGAAGAAGCCCACCCAGTGCAATGGAAAGATTTCTAAATATGAACAGCAGGAGCCTGGGTTTCTGTCCCTGCCCTGCCATTTACCATCTGTGTTACCCTGATGAAGACACATAGTACTCCGCTGTTTCCTTACCTGTGAAATGAAGGGCTGGACCCAATCAGTGGTTCTCTGACCCGCTTTGAGGAAGCCTCCAGGGGCTATGTGGGTAAGAGGTGAGCAGACCCCCGCTTCAAAGATACAAGCTCCGCTTTGAACTGTTCCACTCACAGGGCTTCCGAATGAGATTTCACGAGAAGGGTTTCTGTTGCCAAAATGAAATTTGAAAACCACTGAGCTTGGTGATTATTGAGGCCCCTTCCAGTTCTCACATTCTTCCAGCATGAAGTTCAGGGGGACAGCAGCTGGAGCTGCAGGAAGAGTGGTGTGAATGTGGGCTTGAGTTAGTGGATATCCCAAATGAATCAGACACCAAACCATCTATTCCTCCCTCTTTTTCTCTGGAGGCCTGAACTTTGAGGAGCTACAGGTTTAAACCAGACAGACTCCAGTCCAAATCATGATTCCACATTCAAATCAAATCCACATGACTTTGGGTAAATAAACAAATCCCTTAAATCCTCAGAGTTGCAAATTCTTAACCTATAAAACAGTGACATCACCTACTTTCCACAGTTGTTGTATATATTAAGCAGTGCAATGGGCTGAATATTTGTGTCCCTCAAAACTCTCATGTTGAAAGCCTAACCCCCCAGGTTATGGAATTAGGAGGTGGGGCCTTTGGGAGGTGCTTATGTCGTAAGGGCAGAATCCTCATGAATGGGATTAGTGTTCTTATAAAAGAGACCCCACAGAGCTCCCTAGCCCTTTCTGCTACATGAGGACAGAGTGAAAAGATAACAGTCTAAGAACCAGACAGTGAATCTGCTGTCACCTTGACCATGGATTTCCCAGTCCCTAGAACTGTAAGAAATTTCTGTTATAAGCTACCCAGTCTATAGTATTTTGTTATAGCAGCCCAAATGGACTAGGACAGTGTGGTCTAAGTTGCTACAATGGATGAACCCCAAAATGCAATGGCCAAAGAATAATAGAAGTTTTTTCTTTTTCATGTTAGTAGCCTAGAGCGGGCAGTTGGGGAGCGCTGTGCTCCAAGCATTCTTTGGAGGGATCCAGACAGAGGGTGGCTCTATCACCTTCAACTCATGGCTCCAATGGCTACTGGGGGATTGCCATCCCAGCAATCAAGGAGGGTGGTGGTAGGCACGAGCTCATGAACAAGGTTTATGGCCAGGTCTGAAAAGAGCTCACATCACTTCCATTCACAGTCTATAGATGAGAGCTTTTTCATGTGGCCACACCTGGTTCCAGAAGGAGCCAGAAATTAGTCCTTGGCTGAATAATTACCTCTCAGCTAAAATTCTATTACCCTGGGTTTGCTCAGAAATCAGTGGTAGTTTCCATCATATTATACACAGAAAAGTGCTTAATACCTAGGAGGCTGGTGCTCAACATCTCCTAATAAGCCCAGCTTTTTTGAGTAAGCAGGTTTCTGTGTGGGGATGTGGAGGTGACCAGCATTATTTCATATCCTTATTTCAGAATTCTTCAAAGGGAACCTTCCTATGCTGTTAGTGGGAATGTAGAGTTTCCACTACAGGAAACAGTATGGAGGTTCCTTAAAAAACTGAAAATAGAGCTACCATATGACCCAGAAATCCCACTCCTGGACATATACCCAAAAAAGATGAAAACGCTAATGCAAAAAGATACATGCACCCCAGTGTTCATTGCAGCACTATTTACAGTAGCCAAGACAGGGAAGCACCTACAAGTCCATTGACAGATGAATGGATAAAGAAGATGTGGTACATATATATACAATGGAATATTACATAGCCATTAAAAAGATGAAATAATGACATTTGCAGCAACGTGGATGGACCTAGAGATGATCATATTAAGTGAAGTAAGTCAGACAAAGACAAATATCATATGGTATCACTTGTATGTGGAATCTAAGACATGATACAAATGAACTTAGTTACAAAACAGAAACAGACTCACAGACATAGAAAACATGGTTACCAAAGAGGAGGGGGAGGGTGAAGGGATAAATTAGGACTATGGGATTAACAGATACACACTACTGTGGATAAAATAAATAAGCAACAAGGAGTTACTGTATAGCACAGGGAACTCTATTCTGTATTTTATAACAACCGATAACGGAAAAGAACCTGAAAAGAAAATACGGAATCATTTTGCCGAAACTAACACAATATTGTAAATCAACCCTACTTCAATTAGCAAACTAAAAAGATTTTTTAAATAAAGAAGAAAAAAGAATTTTTCAAAGCTGCTTTCAATCTACTTTCCCTAGGTGGCTCTCTTTGGCTGCCCCCCTCCCTCCTAGACTGGATACATTCATCCGCGGATACCCTTCTAAGGCCTCAATCTCCCCCAGGTCGCAGACTGTTGCCCTCACTGGCCTACCTGGAATCTGGTCATTTGTCAGGCCTGCTCTTCATCACCAAAGGACTTCAGCAGGAGTGTGCCAAGCAGGCTGTCAGCCACAGGCAAGGTTTCTGAAAAAGATGTGCAGCATCAGAAAATTCAGGTCCCTTGAACAACTCTGTTAATATTTGGAAATTAGTTCCCTTTCTCCTTATCGTGCTACTGGGTATTAGAATACAAGAGCAGGGACGAGAGCAATGCAAATTAAAATGATGTTCTCCTCATAAACTACACGGCCATGGGAGGGCAGGCCCTATTACCTATAACCTTGGGATTTCTGGAGGCCCCGCTTTCATTGGAACAGAGTCACCTTAGGGACAGTTAAAGGAAATTTTCTGGGATTTTTTTTTTCCTTTGTATCGAGCAACTACTGATAAGGTACATTTAAATTAACATTCTTTGAATCCCAAGCCCCGAAAACAGCTGCTAAGAGCTGAGCTCCACAACTCTGGCTTCCGATTTCACTCCCACAAACATGGAGCTCTGGTTGCGCCCAGTTCGGGGTGACAAAGGGCTGTCCGTTTCCTCAGTGGGGCAATTTAGCTTTAGAACTGGGTGTGAGAGCATGCCACTGTGTCCGCACCCAGGCCACCAGATGAACAGCCATCAGTGGCCCCAGTCTCCCCCTACCCTCCTATCAGGAAACTTGCTGTCAGGAAAGACGTATATACTTTAAAGAGTCAATGACTGGTTAGACCTATATGATCGCTCTCAAGGTTCCTGATATTTTAACAAATGATCTTGGAGAGGAAGGGACGAGCAAGCAATGGCAAAATTTTAGGCACTGATGCGGCATTTGGGGAAAGACATGGTCTTCGTTTCTCCCAACACACACAACCCCCCCTAAATCACACGGGTGAGGCAATGACCTGCTTCACCTCATCACAGGACCAGGTCCACGGGGTGGAAGAGACAGGGTGGAACAACCCGTCTTACTACAGGATCATCTTACTACAGGAGGGTGGCATTGAGGGAACTAAGTGACAAAAACAAAGAAACCAGTGAAAACACACAGCGGGGAGTGGAAGGGCGAAGTTTGAAAGAGCTTTCTGCTCCTAGTGGGAGGAGTGGAAAACCACCCAACTCATTGCCATCCGCCCCTTTGTTTTCCAGATGCAGAAACCGAGATGTTAAAACCCCCCAGTGGTGGCTCAGGCAGTCCGAAGGAAAACGAGGTCAGAACCCACGCCCTTCCCCTGGGCTCTTACTCTCATTTGAGAGGAGCCACCGCCAAACGTCTGAGTTCCACTGACCTTTGTAGCAACTGAAGTAAGAAAACAACGTGAAAAACCATCACCTTGTTGGTGCCATTTTCATACAGATTGTCGGTATCTCTCCGCACAATCAAAGGGCAGCATTTTCTCCAGGCCTTCACCTCTTGCCTGATGCAAACAAAATGCGCCGGTATCACCCTTTTCTCCTTTTTTTCTCTAGTAGTTTGATGCTCCCTTGGATGCTCGTGCCACGTCCAGGCCTCAGGAAAGTACAACCTCCTGCTCATTTGCAGCAATAGAGCTGGGCATCAGGAACCATCCCCCGGGACAGTCTGTGTGCTCTTAGTCAGACACGTTCTGCTTGACTGTGCCAGCTCCTCTCAAGATCCACCAAGACCAGAAGGAAGAATTGCTGGGAGGGGACAGGGCTGGGGACTGCAGAGAAGGCTGCAAATGAGGAAGGGGTGGGCAGAAACTAAAGGGAAATGTCAGTGCCAGCAGGTGCCCTGTGACTGGTGTTAGTTACATGGCTCACGTTGCAGCTCTGTCATTTATGTAGATCAAAAAGGATTCCCAGGGCTTCCCTGGTGGCTCAGTGGTTGAGAGTCTGCCTGCCGATGCAGGGGACACGGGTTCGTGCCCCGGTCCAGGAAGATCCCACATGCCGTGGAGCGGCTGGGCCCGTGAGCCATGGCCGCTGAGCCTGAGCGTCCAGAGCCTGTGCTCTGCAACGGGAAAGGCCACAACAGTGAGAGGCCCGCATACCACAAAAAAAAAAAAAAAAAAGGATTCCCAAAGAGCTCCTCCATAATTTAGCATTAGCCAGCTTTAAAACACAAACTTTCGCTACCTTTTCTCCATCGAGCTTTCCTTCTCCCAGTGGGAAATTTGAGGGAGGATTCTCATCCCTATCCTGTAGCTGCAGAGCTCTGCCGGGAAGGGCGGTGGCTGCCAAAGTCCTCAATGGCACCGTCCACCTCCTGCACCCTGGCACCCTGCTTATGCAAATACTGCACTCACATGGCCTATCCGTTCTGACTGCTCCAAGGTGATGACAAATTCGAGGGCGTGCGAACTCCTCTGGCTCACTTACAATCTGTGTAGACACCGAAGGCTGCCAGCCTTAAGGGAGTGGGAGGCAAGGCTGAAAGGCTCCCACTTTGGGCCATCACATTGGATAACACTGGGTATCACAACCTCCGCTCTATGAACGTCCTAAGAGCTTTGGAAAGGCAACAGCCCCGGACCTGGCCGCACTTCTCTTTGCAGCAGTGGGGATGCTTGGAAGAGAGGAGAGAGGGTTTTAAAAAGGATAACTGTTAAAGTTGGGCGATGGGTATGCGGGTTCATCATTCTCTCTACTTTTGTATATGTATTTGAAAATTCCCATATTAAAAAGTTAAAAAAAAAAGCCATGGTTGGTGTGGATAGGGACGGTGGGAGGGAGACGCAAGAGGGAGGAGATATGGGGATATATGTATACGTATAGCTGATTCACTTTGTTATACAGCAGAAACTAACACACCATTGTAAAGCAATTGTACTCCAATAAAGATGTTAAAAATAAATAAATTTTTAAAAAGCCATAGACGGCCCATCGGAAGTGCAGTTGGATGCCGAGAGGTGCCGAAAGCTGATAGTCTTGCCCAATTTGCTTTCTTGCCGAGGAAGGCAATTTAAGCCCAAAGAACAAATAGATACACAGGAGAGTCCTTAAAGTTCTCACTGTAATTACGGAGCCTTGGGAGATGAGGAACTGGAAATTAGATGTGGGCTTAAACACTGAACATTTTCCCAAAAGGATAATTGTTTTAGTTTGTTTCCAACCCCCTTAGAATAAGGAAACAAAAGTCATATTAATACAGTATCCGAAACTCAGAGAATGAGTATATTTTGACTTAATATAGACTCAAAATAAGAGACAATCTTCTAAGGGTCATCAAACCTAGCCAGAAAAATAATTTTACTTCTGCTCTTAAACACCAACTTTTTCAATAAGATAAATTGATTGGTCAATAATAATAATTAGACTCTGACCTGACCTTAAGAAGAAAGAAATCTTAGAAAGAAAAATAGTCCCCCATTCTGACAAGAACCTCTGCTCTGTTTGGTGGAGGGGGGGGAGGACAGAGGGGAAGAAGGCATGGGGAGTGGAGACCCCCTAAGATTGCCACCCACCTGCCAGGGACTTAGGATGACGGGAAATACAGCTCTGTTTTATTGCTGCTTTGAGGCTCAAATCACTTCTGATCTTCTTTCCCCTACAAAGTAAAAAATGGGGACTACATCCTCCTTAGATCACCTGAAGTGTAAATACCATCTCATACTGGAACCAGAGGCAGGAGATGAGGAGTGAAGTGGGTGATTATTTCTATTTCTATTTCTTTCTCCGTTTTCCAACACCCAAGTCATTAGGCTGCTTTTCCTATTTTGCTCTAGAGTTTAAAACATGCAATGCAATTGAAACATTGGTGGGCTAGGGAGGATTTAGGTAAACTGGTCCTTAATAGCTCAGGCTAATTCTGAAGCCACTTGTAACAACATGAACTTCAACTTCACACATCAACTTCTCCCTCCCCTCCTGCCGAGGGACTTGGGGAGCTCCTAGGGCCACCCAGTGAGGGTGGCAGGGAGGAGTGGACGATAAGTTTCAGGTCTTGGGTCAGGGTCTCTGAAGACAGTTCTATAGGCATGAAAAATTAGTAAATTCTTAAAATTACAATTTAAAAATTAATTTTTAATTAATTAATTTACAATTTAATTTTTAAAATTACATTCGTTAAACAACTGCATAATCCAAAACCATAACTTGGGTCTAGATGAAATGAAGCTTTTGCTCTAGATTTAAATATGGTTTAGTTTCAGTTGCAGGTTTCTGTTCAACACCAAGATTCTTGAGGACCTTCGCGGTGGTTCCAACGTCAAGGACATACACCATCCTCCTCCTGCTTCTTTTTCTCTACTGTGCCCTGCCTTAGAATGCATTGTCCCGCAGAATTCACTCTCAGGTCTGGCTTCTGGGACAATAAACCTACTTTCTGAGAGAGCACGGGGATCATCAAAGCATGAACTGTACTCAAGTTTCCAATTACAGAGTAGGCACTCTGTCCAGCATGAGATGAGTCCCGGGTTCCCTCGCTCTAGAGCCCTCTTCCAGCTTCTAGACCCATCTACTCAAAATCCAGCTTTGCACTTTTCTGTTTAGTAAGATACCTTTATTCTTTCCTGTCTCAATGACTGCCTCATGGTCTGTGTGACCTCAGCCCCAAGCTGGGGATCTGGAGTCCTGAGTTTTACTCTCAGCTCTTCCACGAATGCACCATGACCTTGAAAAAGTCACATGACCTCGAACAAGTCACATGACCTCTCTGGGAATGAGTTTTCTCACCTGTAAAATAAAGAAGCTGAGCTATCCTACCAGTAGAGCCTTCCCAGCTTTCATTTTGTTAGAAAATCAGCTGCTTCCTCCTCTGGGCTCCCACAGCGTGCTGTTCTTCCTCTGTAGACTTTTATTAGAGTTTATCTCTTTACAAACTATTTCCCCACTGAACTACGAGCCTCTCAAGAAGAAAGGCTGTATCATAGTTATCTTTGTTCCCTCTGTTCCTGGGTAGGAGGGGGTAAAGGGGATGGAGTAGTACCAGCATTTGTTGAGCTCTTAGTTGTGGCATTCGGGATCTAGTTCCCTGACCAGGGATCGAACCTGGGCCCCCTGCATTGGGAGCACTGAGCCTTAACCACTGGACCACCAGGCAAGTCCCTGTGGAGCTTTTATTAAAGGGAACACTGTGTGACACATCATACATAAAGTATTTCTTTTAAAACTCACAATATAAACATTGTAATCCCAAACCTGC